TGGGCCTCCGATCTGTTTCACCTCAGGGTCAATTAGAAATGCGTCGCAACTCTGAAACCGACTGGTACTGGTACCACCACCTCTTCAATCTGACATTCTCTCTTCTCATCTGACAGCGAGTCTGACGAGAATCTCCTTTGCCTGGTTAGGGCCCTTAGAATTTACGTGGAACGTTCGGCTGCTTTCAGACAGTCAGGACAGCTATTTGTTTCGTTTGGTGGCCGATCTAAAGGTCTAGCTGCCTCGAAATATAGCCTTTCCAGGTGGATAGTGGACGCTATCTCACGGGCTTATACATCTAAGAGCCTTTGTTGCCCTCTGGGCGTCAGAGCTCATTCCACTAGAGGCATGCCTCTTCGTGGCCTGGTCCAGTGGGATTTCCCTTCACGATATCTGTATGGCGGCAGGCTGGGCCTCTCTGTCTACATTTAATGGGTTCTATAACCTGGAAGTTCCCGCGCTCCAAGCTAGACTGTTGTCAGTTTAGTTTACCCGCTCAGTTCTGCCGGACTCGGTTCCGCGGACTGCAAAGTTTTCAGTTCAGGCAGGCTATTGCCTCCCCTGACTGTTATACAGTGTTAAGCACCCTTTATGCATTTAAGGTAACCACGTTTACCTTATATCATTCTTATTAAGCCCATTCCCAATGTCGGCTTTTTATATCCCCATGTCATATGAACTCAGGGCGCTCGCCCTTGGGTCAGTGTTGTGGTAGATTTAGCACGCACGGCGTTTTAAATTGGATTCCCGTAGCGTAAGCTAGCTTACGCAACACGAGAGTACTCTCGTAAGAGAACGTCACGGTTACTAACGTAACCTCGGTTCTCTCTAGAAGAGGGAATGAGTGTTGCGTAACCCTGCCGTACTTGTGCTACCATTTGGTTTCGCTTCAGTCGATGAAAACCAAGGAGCATCTTATCGAGCTCTGGCTTATATAGGCATAAGCCGCGCCCATTCGCCCACTCATTGGTGCTTACGTCATGAGCAGTGCCTCGATAGGTTGCAGCAGTTGCCGCATAGCATCCAATAGGCGCGCGAGCTGCCTCGCCTAAGTCTGCTAGCTGCAGCAAGTGTGTTTTAAATTAATACAAATTATAAGGATAATTTTTGGCTTCAGTATTCTCGAGAAAAGAGGTTTTCCCTCTAAGGTTTTTTTTCCATAGTCAACTAGCTAACTATTTATTAGTTATCTAACCTTAAAAACATTTTTCTATTTAATGAGAGAATCATACGAACCTCAAAGTGTTAACCTGTCACCTCTGACCTTCAAAAGCTGTCACAGCTCCTGGTGCAGATGGGATGTGTTGTTGCAGGAACTGATATGCTATAGGCTACTCCTGGCTGGTTGAAATCTCATGCTACTTAGGACAAATGTAATGTACAGAAGTAGCTGCACTGCTTAAATACAAAATTAAAGTTTTTGAACGAAAAGATAAGTAAAGTCACTCTGATGACAATTTTTTTGTTAAATGTGCATATTTACCCCAAAATGTCATGGTATGGGGAAAATTATTATTTTTTTAAACTTGAAACCAATTTTATTGGATTCCTTAACCCCAAAAATGTACACTTTGACACCAAATTTGTCATTATAGCGATAACAGAAGCAAAGATATGGGCTCTAGAGTATTTTCGGCGCATTGGCGGCCATTTTTGAAAAAACATGTTTATTTCTGATACAAAGTGTGATCTCACTTGTGTCTTAGGATAAATTTATTTGTATGACCCTAAGGTACTCCCATACCAAAGGAGACCTTTGCATCATGACTTGAAGTCAAAGGCCTATTTTTTGGGCTTAACCTCCCTACTAATATAAGCTCCTTCAGTATTATCAGCAGCTATTGCGTTCTTTGGGAGCTACCCTTCTCCATCCCCAGCTCCTCCTCTCGTCAGTACATTAAAATATTGAATTAATGATATCTGCAATACATTCATGTTGGTTCTGTTCTGTTTACCCTAAGGGGGGTTCACGAGTTCACACTTACAAATAAGTCAGATAGAATAAATGCATATTTGGCGTGCTGTCCGAGGAGAGGGCTCCGGGCTCGGTATGCGGCCCGAACCCATAGAACTCCCCCGTTCCTGACTGTGGAAGAATGAGCCAGGAGTGAGGAGTTGGGGTGGTGGAGGGATGCTGAAACTGTCAAGGAATGTTAGGTGAGTTGACAGTGGATATTTATATATGCTTCCTCTCGTCCTGATAGGGTAGACATGTAATAGTTTGGTGACGAGTTGATGGGAATGATTTATTTGAACGTGCTCCTCCCGAACCTTGTTTATAAAACATCATTTATTGCTGCTCTCTCTGCTCTTATCCATGCATCGAATTTGCCGATAATGGTCCTGACAGAATGATATTTACTTCACCACATAATCATTTTTATCAGTTTATGAATGTAATCTGGGCTGCGTTTAATTATTTTTTATGCCCTTCCCTCGCTAACTTCCCTCCGTCTCATTCACTCAAATGTATGTCATTGTTTAAGTTGCACGAGTGCCCACTACTGGCGGAACCCTTGAAATGTGTTTAAATGGAACACCCTAAGCCCTTGATCACTCCGATATGGAGCCGATTTATTATTGATAGTTTTTTTTCCTTAAAAGTTTGTTTACACACCATACTATAGGCCAGTATGTATGCTTGGGCTGTTAAAATATATATATAAACAGATATTAAATATTTATATTTAATATAAAATATTAAAAATACACAAACAAAAATGATAATACAATAAACGATACCTATTATGCTATTTTAAAGGCTCCTAATTTTGTTTTGGAGGTCTCCAACCGGTTTACATACGTCCATGGTCATTTTCAAACAGTTTCATTTTCTCATAATATACATTGAACATCACCAGATTTTTCAATGATTCTCTAACGACTCAATGGATGAATCAGTCTCTCTAAACCCTTCCTTTCCGCAATTATACTCTGTTCTGATTGGCCAGATGGTACAGTCTGTTGTGATTGGTCTATCTATAACTTCCATCGCAAGGACGACTTACTCTATACGCTAATCTACGAGTTATATTATGAGATGTTGCAACTGTAATTCCATTCCATCAGCATACCAAGTGCAACAAACCGATGTGTATATTTCGAATTTATTGCGGTGCACATGTGGACACTATCAATAACACCGCTCTAATGTGAATGACTGATGTAACATTTTAAAACAAATCGTGCTCCATTCTTTATCTTTACTCAAAATAGTAAGAAAGACAGATAATCGTCATTAGACAGTTTTAGGAAATAGTGGCCCACAGGTGATAGAAGTATTTCAGTAAGACAGTAATAACGTGAGTTAGCCGTTAGCCAGAAACTTAGACAATATAAAACTACGTATTTTGAACACCAAAGTAGACAATATACATCAATGATCATCCATACTTACAGGTTGTGATTCTGAGGAGCAAGCTGGTCCAAATAAACTGAGTACTAACCTATCTTTCAAGAGCAAACGTTTTGCGAATCCCTTTGTTGAACTCCCGTGAGATTTGAGAAGCAATCGTCAGTAAAATGACCCGGGCAACATCGACGGGCATCAAAGTACAACATCGACGGGCATTATGCAAATGTATTTTCTAGTGATGTAGAACCGTAAAGCAGTAGGATTCGAAACACAAACGACTCCTTAAGGCGGTCAATTCTGTCTTTTGGGGGAGAATACATTTATTTATTGTGCACTTTCAACTTTACAACTTTGCAGAACGTTTACATTCAGAAATAGCTATATTACACACTGCATGAAAGGGAATATTCAAAAAACCATAATAGTGGCACTTTTAAAGTCAACTTAAGGTACAAGTATTAAATGTGGTTAAATGTCAAAATAACACCACTATCATACACTAGAATTGTTAGGGTTGGGAGTAAATTAAGCGCAATCTGCTTTGATGTCACAATCATGGTGCATTGTGGTCTATGGATCTGCCTGAAGTGTACTCGCTCCCTCAATCAAAATTCGAGAGGTCGAGTGTCTGTCCAAATAAATTATCCTCATCCACTTGACGAAGTTGAACATCCTTCAAAATGGCGGTGGGGATTCCCCCGAGGGGAAGTGCTTAAGGAAATTTGCGAGTGTATGTCTAAAAGTGGAGTTAAACGCAGCCTAGGACTTACTACATCTGCCATGTTGTCATTATCATGTGACCTATCAGCATCAGTTGTGTCGCATCAACACTTTTCACAAATCCTCTCCTGTGGCCTCATGGGATAGTAAAGTGTCCATAGTATGCACACTTCACAATCTTGCCAGAAGAAATAGATCATCCGGGTACATTTTGCCTGCTCTTTTAGGAGTACTGTGAATTCGGACATACTTTGACAAATACTGTTTTTCGCCTACTATATAGTAGGGAAGTATGTGATTTCGGATGCAGCACATCTCTGACTCAACTCCTTCGTGCTGATATCGCGATACAGCTTTAACCTCGACGAAAAATGTAAATCACGATTTAAAAATCGCAGAATATTTCAGCTGTAGAATATCACAGCTGCCCATTTGAATTCTTGTCATCATAGCTTCACACAGAACATGCTCATGAAATGCAAAAGAAATGGAAAAGACCAGTTTAAAGATGTTGAATATCTTTGAGTTGACTTAGCGTGGCATTAATGCACAATGTGTGGAAAAAGCAGTGAGATGCAGCGGTCACAGTCATTTGTCTAACACATTTCCATAAAAAAAAAAAAAAAGTGTTAGGCCCATTTTGTACTTAAAACAAGGTTTCTCTGAGGTTACTTAATAAAACCTACCTTGCATGCTGAAGAGAAATATGATGTCACCACCCTTGATAAACTCTCTTCGAGTCAGATCATCTTTCATAATGGCATATGGATAGTCCGAAAAAATACCCACATATACAGTCTCACTGCCAATGGTGACTCGAGTTCCATTATTTCGAGGATTGTCCCAGTAATATCTGCCATCTGTTACAACAAAATGTGTCTATTAAAAAGCCATTTAAAGTTAGAGATAACAATGTATTTGATCTTTAGCTAAGTAAAATTCTACATATAAACACATGATGTGACAGAAAAATAATCAGATTCTTACTGGGAGATACCAATACAGGGTCAGTGGTGATGCTTTGTTCTAAGGACATGCGCTTCTGAATGTGTGGATTCTGGTCAAGCATCTGGAAGGTTATTTGTCTCCATGGACAAGGCCACTGCAACTGGTCGTCATATGCACCAGATACCAGATGAATATACATGGCAAGAAAATTCTGATCCACCTCTAATGCAGCCTGAAAGCGATAACCATCACTGGAGTAATACAATGGACTCGCCAAAATCCGATTGTTCAAAACCTTTTCAGAGTCCCTTATCTGCCATATGTGGGGACACTCAGTCTCTGAAATATTGATATCATCCAGTGAGAAGCCTCCACGGGAGTTTCCAGCTCCTTTACGGGCTTCAAATACAACTTGGAAGGTTTTATTTGCATTCAGTGGCACATGATGCAGTTTCCAGTAATTACCTGGGAGTTCTGCAAGAAAATAAAATGTAAAATTAAACATTTTAGGAACATTTTAAAAGCATAGGCCGACATGTGTTTTTCCGCCTGTAATATTACAGTACTTGAAGAAGAGACAGACCTGTGATCTGATCCATAAGTCTGAGAGTTCCTCTGTTGTCTGCTTCATTCTGGTACTCTCGGATCCAGATGTTGAGCTGGTCAGACTCATTACCACTGTGATAGTAGTAGAACTGCAGGCATTGGACTTTGCAGTCTCTTTTAGGGGTCATTGTCTTGCTGTCCATTATGGCCGTGTCCCCTTCCTTTCTCCCCTTAGTGCTGAAGTGCATGAAAAAAGACATCCCTGCAGACATGAAAACGTACTCGATTACTAACGTAACCTCGGTTCTCTCTAGAGAGGTTCTCTCGTATTGCGTAAGTTTAGCTTACGCTACGGGAAAGATTGATCTTCTCGAGATATTGAAGCCAACAAATTATCCTTAATTTTGTATTCATTGTCAACGCAGTGCAGCAGCTAGCAGACCTAGAGCAGGCAGTCTTGCGTGCTCATTGGCTGCCCTGCGGGCATCTGCTGCAGCCTACCAGTGAGCCCCGCGTGACGTCACGCCCAATGAAAGGCGCCCGCGCCTTCATAGCGTCATAGCCCGCCAGAATGGGCGTGGCTTAGCGTATAAAAGAAGGGGCTGTAGGCTGAATTCCCTGGTTTTCGTCGACTGAAGCGAAGTCGCTCGTGGCGCGAGCACGGCCGGTTACGCAATACTCGTTCCCTCTCTAGAGAGAACCGAGGTTATGTTAGTAACCGAGTACGTTCTCTTACGAGAGGTTCTCTCGTATTGCGTAAGTTTAGCTTACGCTACGGGAACTTTTTGTCAACGCCGTGCGCGCCAAGCAACCACCCATGAGTCGCCGAGGTTTCTCGGGGAACCCAATAAGTGGAAAAAATAAGGTGGCCAGCCACGCGGGCCATCACTCGTACATAAGCACACATAGGTAATACAGAGCAGAGCACTGGTCTGTATAAGCATATAGCACATCCCTACTAGTGCAGCTCAACCAGGAGAGCTGAGTCACGTGAGAGTGTTCTGAGCATGATATATCTGGGCAGAACGCACAACTCGCTTAGACTGACAGAAGTTTAGCCTGCAGGGCGGGAACTTCTAGGTTATAGAACCTGACAAAGGTAGATGGGGAGCTCCAGCCCGCCGCTACACATATGTCGTGGATAGAAATCCCGCTGGACCACGCCCACGATGAGGCCATGCCTCTAGTGGAATGAGCCCTGATGCCCAGAGGGCATTGCAGACCTTTTGACGCGTAAGCGGCCGCTATAGTGTCCACTATCCATCTGGACAGAGTCTGTTTCGAGGCAGCGAGACCTTTGGTGCGCCCACCAAACGAAACAAACAGCTGCTCCGTGTGCCTGAAAGAGGCGGAGCGCGTAGTGTAAAACCTCAGCGCCCTGACCGGGCAAAGGAGATTCACGTGTGTCTAACTGTCTGACGCTGGCAGAGCCGACAGTGAAATGACTTGCGCTCTGAAAGGAGTGCCCATCACTTTTGGAACATAGCCATGTCTAGGTTTGAGGATGACTTTAGAGTCATTCGGCCCGAGCTCAAGACACGTCGCGCTGATTGACAGCGCGTGCAGGTCCCCCACACGTTTGACAGATGACAGCGCGGTCAGAAAAACGGTTTTTAGTGATAGGTATTTTAACTCCACGGAGTCTAGTGGCTCAAATGGGAAGGCTTTCAGGGCCTCGAGGACCAAGGAAAGATCCCACATAGGAATCGACGGGGGGCGCGGCGGATTCATCCTTCTAGCTCCCTTAAGGAAGCAGATGACCAGCTCATGTCCTCCCAGTGACTGGCCGTGCGTCGATTCTGCGAACGCCGCCACGGCCGCCACATAAACTTTGAGCGTGGATGGGGACCTCCCTTTATCCATCAGCTCTTGTAGGAAAGTGAGCAGATGCGCAAGATCTCTCCAGATCTCTGTCGGTGCACCACTTGGAGAACACCGACCATTTAGACGCGTAGAGCCTTCTCGTGGAAGGAGCTCAAGACTGCGTGATCGTGTTCATCACTCTTTCTGGCAGGGCAACGAGTACCCGTTGATCAACCATGCGTGCAGAGACCAGCGCTCTGAGAGAGGAGATCTGCCCTCACCGGAATAGGCCACGGAGCTGCATGTGACAGCCGTGCAAGTTCCGGGAACCAATTCTGATTCTCCCAGTGCGGAGTTATGAGGAGCACCGAGTGGCGCGTTTCCCTGATTCTCTTGATCACCTGTGGCAACAGGGAGACCGGAGGGAAAGCATACAGTGGGAGGCTGGGCCAAACCTGGGCCAGCGCGTCCTCGTTCTTCGAAAAGAACATCGGGCAATGAGCGTTGTCTTTTGACGCAAATAGGTTGACTTCCGCTCTGCCGAATAGGCGCCACAGTTTCTGGACTGTTTGGGGGTGCAGGGACCATTCCCCTGGGGGAACGTTGTCCCTGGACAGTTTGTCTGGGCCGTCGTTCAAATGGCCAGGCACATGCGCCGCCCTCAGCGAGCGCAGGTGCATCTGGGACCAAATAAGAATGCATTCCGTCAGATTGCAGAGGTTTCTGGATATGACACCGCCCTGACGGTTTACATAGGAAACCACAGACATGTTGTCCGAGCGGACGAGAACATGTTGGTTCGGTATGAACGGGAGGAAGCGCTTATGTTTATGTTTATGTTTCACAGTTTATGTGAAAACACTTCTCTTGGTCTGACCACTGGCCAAAGGCCGGTCTGCCCTCGAACAGCGCGCCCCAACCCGAGTTGGACGCGTCTGTCGAAATGACTTTCCGATAAGAGATGGTTCCCATCATCACTCCCTGCTGGTACCAGTCGGCTACTAACCAGGGCTGCAGAGCCGCTATAAAGGTCTGAGTCACTCTGATTTTCTGGCCGGCAGAAACCCATGCTCGGTGAGACGCGCGAGCATTCAACCAGCGTTGGAGCGGGCGTATGCGCAGTAGGCCCAGCTGGAGCACCGCTGCCGCTGAAGCCATACAGCCCAGCATCCTTTGAAAGACGCGGCTAGGCGGCGAACACGGTGCGCGCGCTGTGTCGACAAGCGAGCCGTCATGGCCACAGAATTCAGTTCTATTCCTAAAAAGGAAATTGACTGACTGGGCATTAATGAGCTCTTGGTCCAGTTGACCGTGAGACCCAAGCTTTCCAGGTGACTGAGAAGCACTGTTCTGTGAGATAACAGCTCCGTCTCTGACTGTGCCAATATCAGCCAATCGTCCAGATAGTTCATTATTCGCAGCCCCTGAGTTCTCAGGGGGGCGAGCGCCGCGTCCATGCACTTCGTAAATGTACGGGGTGCTAGAGACAGGCCGAACGGCAGGACGGTGTATTGATATACCTGACCGTCGAAGGCGAATCTCAAAAATTGCCTGTGACGGGGTAATATCTGAATCTGAAAATAGGCATCCTTCAGATCTAGAGAAATAAACCAGTCCCTCGGGCGAACGTGCGCGAGGATTTTTCTGGTTGTAAGCATTTTGAACGGTATTTTTGCATGCACTTTGTTCAAATGTCTCAGATCTAGGATAGGTCTGAAAGCTCCGTCCTTCTTGGGTACGAGAAAATATCGGCTGTAAAAGCCTGACTCGCTCAGAGAAGGCGGTACTTTTTCTTTAGCCCCTTTGCACAGCAGTTTTACGATTTCTGCGTGAAGTAGGCGTGCTACTTCCGCATTCACCATCGTCGCGGTCCGGGCTCGAAAGCGCGGGGGACGGCGAATGAATTGAAGTGTATAGCCCTGCTTTATTGTGCTCAGAACCCATTCTGAAATCCCTGGGATAGTTTCCCACGCAGCTATGTGAGCCGCTAGGGGGCGAATGGCCTCCGGGTTCAGATCGCCGCCATTTGCGGGCTTGTGAAACTGAGCCGGAGCCGAAAGCGCGGCGCGCGCTCTCGGTTCTGGGCAATGGCTGCTCGCTGAAAGCCGAGACCGTCTGATTTATGTGAGGTGTCCCAATCATAAGGGATGGGGAGCATTTTATTCTCACTTTTTGACGTGCGCGCAGTGCTTTGGGCGGAAAAGCTTTCTGTAAGCGTTAGCGCGTGTGCGCGGGCACGAGACTTACAAGTGTATTTGACGCCCCGATCATAACGGATGGGGAGCGTCTTATCAATGCCCTGCGTTTTGTGATAACATTTAAACGCGCGGGCGGCGCCCGGGGGGAGGTGTGTGTTAGTAAGCGTGAATGCTCTCCGGCAGGCACGAGACTTACATTCATAACCTGTTTTATTGACCGTGTAACCGAGCGGGCAGATAGTGGGCACAGACCTGTGGACACATTTCTTATATTCAACACTCGAGCGGCTTTTCTGCGCTTTATGAGAGTGTGCTCTGTGAGTGACACGAGATTTGATGTGCTTGTGTGTAGGGGTGAACACTGGGGCGTGGGCACTTTCACTACACTTAAAACACCAACGGCGTGAGCCGGACCAGACATTATACTCTTTTTGAGATTTCTCTGGGTCGCCGTGAAAACGGCGTTTGTGTGCAGGCGAGAGGGTAAATGAACTGGCTCGTTGGCTGCCAAATGAACCACTACAATAGCCTGTTTGAAGGGGACTGTCAGGGAAATAACCTTTGACGGCGGTCCGGCCGCAGCGGGACGTGCGCGTCTTTTCTCTCTCTTGGTTAGGATGGCTTTGCGTGCTCAGACTTCAGCGTGATCTTTTGCCGAGGCCCTCTGGGGGGCGGCGGTCTGTGACGGCTGTCTGAGCGCGACCTAGGGCGGCCGCCCTGGCGTCGCTGCGAAGGCTGAGGCTGTGCTGGACGCTGGGCTGTCACAGTCAACGCGGCCATGGCTCGTCCAATGGCTTGAGCTGCGGTCTTGGTGGCGCGGAGAGAGATCCGTCGCGCTTCTCAGATCTGTAACCGCAGCTGGGTCTTGGCCCTTCTCGTCCCATTCACGGAGGAGGTCGGCTTGCAGGATTTGTAAAACAGCCATGGAGTGGAGAGCAGATGCGGCCTGGCCGGAGGCGGCATATGCGCGGCCGACCAAGGCAGACGTGGCTCTGCATGCTTTGGACGGGAGGGCTGACCTTGACCGCCATCTCGCGGAGGGCGGACAAAGGTGCGCTGCGACGGTCTCTTCCACAGGAGGAATTGCCGTGTATCCTCTCTCGGCGGCGCCGTCCACTTGGGAGAGCGACGCGGAGGTCTGAGATGTTCCACGACTTTGTCAACTCCGTGTGAAGCTCCGGTAGGAACGGAGCGGACCTGCTTGCTGGGGCTGAACGGCGGCGACATTGCAGGAAACATCCGTCGAGCCTGTTCGGCGCGGGTTCCTTCGGCAGCGACCACTCGAGCCCGAGCCGGTCAACCACCTGCGTCAGCAGACGCATCAGCTCCGCATCAGCTCCAGCGCGGGTACGGCCGGATTCCTGGATCGACGAGGAGGCGGAGTTTAGCGACCATTCCTTGCTATCCGATGCCAGGATGGAGCAGCAGTCTCTCGTGGCGTGTCCTTCGGCCTCACCCTCAGACGCGACGGCAGTGAGGCTCGTGAGCGGCAGCTGCACGTCGGTGAAGGGAGGCGGGGAAGGCGAGAGCGAGGCTCGAGGGAGGTTCTCCGGCGAGCGCGTCGCTGTGGCCACGGGTTCCGGCTGTCTCTGGGAACGGCGCTTCTTTTTCCGTGGTCCCACAAAGGGCGGAGTGACTGCTTCCGGGTTGAAGGCTTCGAGTCGAGCCCGCAGGGTCGACAGCGGAAGCGCTTCACAGAACTCGCAGCCCCCGAGGGCGAGCTCCGCGTGTTCCTGGCCCAGGCAGAGAGCGCAGATCACGTGGCGGTCTACGACGCTGAGCGGGGCCCTGCACGAGCCACAGGAAGTGCGAGGCATCTTGAAAAAGACGCTAGCTGCTCTTTTAGTAGTAAAGTGCTAAAAGAGAATACAAACAGAGCAAAAAGGATACGTCGCCGGATAGCGTAGCTCGCACGGATGGCTGAAGGTGGCGAAGACGGCCGGCTTCCTCAGCGCTGTCCTAAGCTGGCTGTTCGCTGTTCGACGGCGGCGGCGGCGGCTTCTCTCAGATCCAGCGATGCGAAGGGCTTCGCTGAAGAGACGAAAATCAGGCAATTCAGCCTACAGACCCTTCTTTTATTTGCTAAGCCACGCCCATTCTGGCGGACTATGACGCTATGAAGGCGCGGGCGCCCTTCATTGGGCGTGACGTCACGCGGGGCTCACTGGTAGGCTGCAGCAGATGCTCGCAGGGCAGCCAATGAGCACGCAAGACTGCCTGCTCTAGGTCTGCTAGCTGCTGCACTGCGTTGACAATAAATACAAAATTAAGGATAATTTTTTGGCTTCAATATCTCGAGAAGATGAATCTTTCCCGTAGCGTAAGCTAAACTTACGCAATACGAGAGAACCTCTCGTCAGAGAACAGGTGTATAGTGGAACTGGGTGGTACAGTGACTGCAACTGTGGATGGAATTGAAGCATTTCTTTTTGGGCAATTAGTATAGTAAATAGTAAAGTATAGAGTAAAGTCTCTTCCTGTGATATCAAAACAGTCACTTTCCACTGACTGACTGAAACAGATCTCACCATTTTGTTCTTTGCTCAAGTAGGTGTGGTCAGTCACACTGATGCCACTCACTGACTTCACTCTCTGCCAGCCATAAACGGCAGCAGAACAGATACTCATCTGACACAGATATGTATCATCAAAACTGTAGTGGTCAAGGAAAGAGATGGAGGAATCTAATGCAAACAGACAAACACTGAGGCAAAATCAATTCCTTACAACTTCCATTCATGATGACATGTTTCCCTGGTCTCCTTTACATCAGACTTCAAGTTCTACTGAAATATTTAACAACCACAAACTGCAAAATAAAAACAATGTGTATAAAATACTCACTGCATTTATAGAGTTTGTTGAGCTCAATCGCATCATATTCACTGATGTCCAGGCGTTGACCAATCACATCTTGGAACTCAGGAAGCTTGGTGATGATCGTGGACCCATTACCGTTACTGAAGGCATTTTTATCATAATGCATCACAGAGTAATAGTCATATGGGGAGGTGGTCACATTCTCTCTGTATTTATTGAAATTAGTCACATGCCCTGAAAATAAAGACTAATGGAGTTATTAATGTAATTGTTCATAAAGAATGGCTTATTTAAATGCTGATTAGTTAATTGGGCACTGCAATCAGTATGTTAGTGTGTGTCTATATATAACTATTTTACTCTATTCCTTAAAAACAAATAAAGTTAAAAACAAAATACATGGCAACCTTTTATGATGTTTTCAAAGTTGATGGTCACATAATCATCTCTGTCATATCTTGACTGCTCATGCCAAAATCCTAGTGCATGGAGAAACTCATGCTCGACAACGGCTTTTTTTCCACAGTTATTTCCAATGGAAAGAGTCTGGCCTCCAGGAGATGAGCGACCGACATATGACCAACACCTGCGAAATAAGCGAGAGATAACAGCACATTTACGCAGCATATAGGTGCATTAATATTTTGACTGGTAGTGTAAAAGAGTCTATTAACTCATGAATGTTTTGTACTATACATTCAGTATAGTTTGGCTGTATCAGAGAACAGTCTATAATACCACATAAGAATAATATATATATATATATATATATATATATATATATATATATATATACACAGGTCCTTCTCAAAAAATTTGGATATTGTGATAAAGTTAATTATTTTCCATAATGTAATGATAAAAATTAAACTTTCATATATTTTAGATTCATTGCACACCAACTGATATATTTCAGGTCTTTTATTGTTTTAATACTGATGATTTTGGCATACAGCTCATTAAAACCCAAAATTCCTGTCTCAAAAAATTAGCATATCATGAAAAGGGTCTCTAAACAAGCTATTAACCTAATCATCTGAATCAACTAATTCATTCTAAACACCTGCAAAAGATTCCTGAGGCTTTTAAAAACTCCCAGCCTGTTTCATTACTCAAAACCTTAATCATGGGTAAGACTGCCGACCTGACTGCTGTCCAGAAGGCCATCATTGACACCCTCAAGCAAGAGGGTAAGACAGAAAGAAATTTCTGAACAAATAGGCTGTTCCCAGAGTGCTGTATCAAGGCACCTCAGTGGGAAATCTGTGGGAAGGAAAAAGTGTGGCAAAAAACGCTGCACAACGAGAAGAGGTGACCGGACCCTGAGGAAGATTGTGGAGAAGGACAGATTCCAGACCTTGGGGGACCTGCGGAAGCAGTGGACTGAGTCTGGAGTAGAAACATCCAGAGCCACCGTGCACAGGCGTGTGCAGGAAATGGGCTACAGGTGCCGCATTCCCCAGGTCAAGCCACTTCAGAAACCGTGGCAGAAGCGCCTGACCTGGGCTACAGAGAAGCAGCACTGGACTGTTGCTCAGTTTTGCATGTCATTCGGAAATCAAGGTGCCAGAGTCTGGAGGAAGACTGGGGAGAAGGAAATGCCAAAATGCCTGAAGTCCAGTGTCAAGTACCCACAGTCAGTGATGCTCTGGGGTGCCATGTCAGCTGCTGGTGTTGGTGCACTGTGTTTTATCAAGGACAGGGTCAATGCAGCTAGCTATCAGGAGATTTTGGAGCACTTCATGCTTCCATCTGCTGAAAAGCTTTATGGAGATGAAGATTTCATTTTCCAGCACGACCTGGCACCTGCTCACAGTGCCAAAACCACTGGTAAATGGTTTACTGACCATGGTATTACTGTGCTCAATTGGCCTGCCAACTCTCCTGACCTGAACCCCATAGAGAATCTGTGGGATATTGTGAAGAGAAAGTTGAGAGAAAAATAATTATGAAAAGTAATGAACTTTATCACAATATGCTAATTTTTTGAGAAGGACCTGTATATATATATATATATATATATATATATATGAAGCCAAAACTGATAGATGGATTAATAAATATACAACTATATTGTTTGTTGAATTACAAAAAAAGGCTGTGTTACTGTAAAAGCTAACATTACTTTTCAACATGTTGTATTGTTACCACAATTTATGTCTTTTGTCTTTTTTTTTCTTATAATATTTTTTACTACCATTATAGATGTAATTTCTGTATCTCTATTTTTCAGTCTTTACTATCAAAGATTTCAGGTACCATCCAAATGTAAGGGAATGTTGAAATTACTGTAATAAAAACCAAAAGAAAACGATACTGGTTACTAACGTAACCTCGGTTCTCTCTAGAAGAGGGAACGAGTATTGCGCAAGTTTAGCTTACGCTACGGGAAAGATTCATCTTCTCAAAATATTGAAGCCAAAAAATTATCCTTAATTTTGTATATGTTGCCAACGCAGTGCAGCAGCTAGCAGACCTAGAGCGGGCATTCTAGCGCGCTCATAGGCTGCTCTGCGGGAACTGCACAGCCTACCAGTGAGCCCTACGTGACGTCACGTCCAATCGAGGGCGCGCCGCGTCCTAGCCCGCCAGAATGGGCGTGGCTTAGCGTATATAAGCGGGGCTCGGAGGCTGATTCTCTGGTTTTCATCGACTGACGCGAAATAGCGCTTGCGGCGTTTAGCACGGCAGGTTACGCAATACTCGTTCCTTGAAAAACAGCTTTGAGCGACAGGTATTTCAGGTCCGCTGTGTCCAGGGGTTCAAAGGGGAATGCTTTCAGGGCCTCTAGGACCAGTGAAAGGTCCCACATAGGAACCGAGGGGGGGGGGGGGGGGGGGCGGGGGGGTTCATCCTTCTGGCTCCTCTGAGGAAGCGGATGATAAGCTCGTTTCTGCCTATTGACTGGCCATGCATTGATTAAGAGAATGCTGCGACAGCCGCCACATATACTTTGAGGGTGGAGGGGGATCTGCCCCTATCCAGCAGCTCCTGAAGGAAACTGAGCAGCCGCGGGACCCCACACGTTCGCGGATCCAGGTTTTTGCTAGTGCACCACTTAAAGAACACAGACCATTTGGACGCGTAGAGCCTTCTGGTAGAAGGTGCTCTAGACTGCGAGATTGTGTTCATTACTGCGTCTGGCAGGTCGAGCCGCGCGCCTGAGAGATGAGGTCTGCTCTCAGCGGGACAGGCCATGGGGCTGTCTGAGACAGCCGCATTGGCTCTGGGAGCCAAGTCATCGCGGGGCTATGAGGAGCACTGAATGGCGCGTTTCCCTGATTCTCTTGATCACCTGTGGTAACAGAGATACAGGAGGAAATGCATATAGCGGACGGCTGGGCCACGTCCGGGCAAGCGCGTCCCTGTCCTTTGAAAAGAACGTCGGGCAGTGAGCGTTGTCTTGTGACGCAAAAAGGTCGACTTCCACTTTGCCGAAAAGGCGCCATAATAACTGGACTGTTTGGGGGTGCAGGGACCATTCTCCCGGGGGAACGTTGTCCCTGGACAGTCTGTCTGGGCCGTCGTTCAGGTGACCCGGCACATGTGCAGCTCTCAGTGAGCGCAGATGGTGCTGAGACCAAACGAGGAGGCGTTCCGCCAGATTGCAGAGGTTCCTGGATCTGACGCCGCCCTGGCGATTTAAATAGGACACCACAGACATGTTGTCCGAGCGGACTAGAACATGGTGGTCCTGAATGAATGGGAGGAAGCGTTTCAGCGCGTTCTCGACCGCTATCATTTTCAGACAGTTTATATGGAGGAGTTTTTCCCGGTCTGACCACAGGCCGAAGACTGGTCTGCCCTCGAGGGTGGCGCCCCAACCTGAGTTGGACGCATCCGTCGAGATGACCTTCCTGTATGAGACCGCCCCCATAGTCACTCCCCTCTGGTACCAGTCGGCCGCTGACCAGGGCTGCAGAGCTGTGATACAGCTCTGAGTCACTCTGATCCGCTCGCGACCCGACCCGACCTCCAAGCTCGGTGTGGCACACGCGCGGCCAGCCAGGGCTGTAGCGGGCGCATGCGTAGTAAACCTAGCTGGAGTACCGCTGAGGCTGAAGCCATCAAGCCTAGCATCCTCTGGAATTTTTTCAGAGGGGAAACGCTGCCCGCCGTGAATGACATGGCCAGTTGCCGGACACAGCGTGCGCGCTGTGTAGACAGGCGAGCCGTCATGGTCACTGATTCCAGTTCTATTCCTAAAAAGGAAATTGACTGACTGGGCAGCAATGAGCTCTTGGTCCAGTTGGCCGTGAGACCTAGGCATTTCAGATGGCTGAGAAGCGCAGTTCTGTGAGATAATAGTTCTGTCTCTGACTGTGCTAGAATCAACCAATCGTCCAGATAGTTCAAAATTCGCACGCCCTGAGTTCTCAAGGGGGCGAGAGCTGCGTCCATGCACTTCGTGAAAGTACGGGGTGCTAGGGCCAGACCGAACGGCAGGACGGTGTATTGATAAATCCGATCGTCGAAGGCGAATCTCAAGAATGGCCTGTGACGGGGTATTATCTGAATCTGGAAATAGGCATCTTTCAGATCGAGAGATATAAACCAGTCCCCCTGGCGAATGTGCGCGAGGAGTTGTCTGGTTGTAAGCATTTTGAACGGTCTTTTCATAAGAGCTTTGTTCACATGCCTCAAATCCAGTATGGGTCTGAGTCCCCTGTCCTTCTTGGGCACGAGAAAATAACGGCTGTAAAAGCCTGACTCGCTCAGAGAAGGCGGTACCGGTTCTATGGCCCCTTTGCACAGCAGTTTTGTTATTTCTGAGCGAAGTCGGTGTGCTACTTCTGCTTTCACTGTCGTCGCGGTCCGCGCTCGAAACCGAGGGGGACGGCGAGCGAACTGTAACGCATAACCCTGCTTTATAGTGCTTAGCACCCACTTCGATACCCCTGGGATGTTTTCCCATGCTTTTATATGTGCAGCTAAGGGTAGAATGGACTCCGGGCTCTGGTCGCCGCGCGGGCTCGAGAGACTGAACCGGAGGAGCGGGCGCGCTCTGTGTGCTTATATGGGGCGGCTCGCTGAAAACAGTGACAGGCTGTTTCATATGCAGCTTCCCGATTACTGTGAATGCGGGGAGCTTTGTGATCGCATTGTGATTCGCGAGCGGCGCCTTGAGAGGCGTGCAGGCTTGTAAGCGCGGGCGCTCATGGGCGGACGCGTGACTTACAACCATAGATTGACCGGCATGAGCTTGCGCTTTGTGGCGTGTGTTTAACAGCACTGGCGAAGCGCGTGTCAGTAAGCGTGAGCGCTTGTGAGCGGGCACGAGACTTACGTTTATATTGTGGCTCATGTGGGACTGCGCACTGTGGTGCGCGCGCGGCTTGGCCGTGTGACAGAGCGGGCAGATAGAAGATGTGTGCACGTGGGCACATCTGCTATGGGCAACACTCGAGCAGCATTTGCCTGGTTCATGAGAGTGGGCTCTATGTGGGACACGGGAAGTGTTGTGTTTACATGTAGGGGTGGACACTGGGTTGTGGGCACTTTTACTACACATAAAACACCTTCGGCATGAGCCGGATAACCAGATAACTTGCTCTTTATGAGATTTCTCTGGGTCGCCGTAAAAACGGCGTTTGTGTGCAGGCGAGCGGGTTATGTAACCGACTCGTTGACTGCTAAATGATCCACTGCAGTAGCCTGAGATGAGGGGACTGACAGGGCTAGAAGTTTTGAAGGTGGTCCGGCCGCGGCGAGACACAACCGTCTTTTTTCCTCCTGATGGTGCTAGGAGGGCTTCGCGTGCTCAGGTTTCAACGCGATCTTCGGCCGAGGCCCTCATGGGGGGTGCGGCCTGCTGCGCTTAGCTGAGCGCGATCTAGGGTGGCCGCCCTGTCGCTGCGAAGAATGGCCGTTCTGTCTGGGCTGAGCTGGGCGCTGCGTGGCGGCTCGTGCAGGCGGCTGGTCACGTGAGCGACCTGCAGCGGAGCTAGCGCGACGCGGCAGGAACAGGTTCATGGCTTGCGACGTTTTCTGTACCTCAGAAAAGCGGTCGACGATTCCATTCACTGCTGGGCCGAAGAGACCAGAGGGTGAGAGAGGGGCGTCGAGTAAAACGGATCGCTCAGACTCTTTCATGTCAGCCAGCGTCAGCCAAAGGTGCCTCTCAGTTACAGTTTACGAGGCCATGCATCTCCCCAGGGCCTGGGCCCCAGACTTAGTAGCGCGAAGGGAGAGATCCGTCGCGCTCCTCAGGTCCGTAACGGCAGCTGGGTCCCGGCCTTTCTCGTCCCACTCACGGAGGAGATCAGCTTGGAGAATTTTCAGAACAGCCATTGAGTGCAGGGCGGAAGCTGCTTGTCCGGCGGCGGCGTAAGCGCGACCGACAAGGGCAGATGTGGTCCTGCAGGCTTTAGAAGGTAGGGCAGACTTTGAGCGCCATCTCGCGGAGGGCGGGCAAAGGTGCGCTACGACAGCTTCCTCGACCTTCAGAATAAAGCTGTATCCCTTCTCGGCGGAGTCTCGCGGAGAAAGGGGCATTCCACGATTTAGCCAGTTCCGAGTGCAGCTCAGGGAGGAAGGGCGCGGGCCTGGAAGCGGGCGCTTGACGGCGGCGACTCTGAAGAAAGCAGCCATCAAGCCTGTTGGGGGCGGCTCCTGAGGCTGTGACCACTCGAGCCCGAGGCGGTCAATGGCCTGCGAAAGGAGGCGCATCAGTTCGGCTTCCGCTCCAGCACGTGTTCTCCCAGACTCCTTAATAGAAGAGGAGGCAGAGCGTTGAGACGGCGGCTGCGCGTCGGTGAGAAGAAGCGGGGAGGGCGTCGGCGAGGCTCGAGGGAGGGACTCCGGCGAGCGCGTCGCGGCGGCAGCAGGCTCCTGCGGCCTTTGTGAACGGCGCTTCTTTTTCCTGCGCAGTGCAGCAAAGGGCGGAGAGGTAGCTTCGTCCTAGAAGGGTCGACATCGGAAGATCCTCACAGTGCTCACATCCTCCCGAAGAGAGGGCAAGAGCAGCATGTTCCTGGCCCAGGCAGAGAGCGCATATAACATGGCGGTCTCCGACGCTGAGAGGGGCTCTGCACGAGCCGCAAATGGGCCGAGGCATCTTGAAAAAGACGCTCGTGCTCTTTTAGATGGTCGGATTTGCAAATGAGAAAAAAGGATACAACGCCAGATAGCGTAGCTCGCTTCGGAAGGCTGAAGGTGGCGAAGGCCATCCCTCTCTACATTGTTTCCTCAGTCACTGAGGCTTCCTCAGTCACTGTCCTAGCTGGCTTTGTCGCTGTTTCAACGGCGCCGGCTTCTTAAAGGGATTCTATGCAGTTTTTTTAGCTTAACTAAACAGCTTCAGAGTTATTGAAATGGTTATATGACTTCTTTCAGGTTGAATGGTGGGCATCTCGACCCCCCCTGGTGCCTGTGAGCAGAAAAATCTCACTTGCAACTTTAATGCGGCCGTGCGGCGGGCCAGCGTCAGGAAGTATCACGTGATATCAGCTCTCGCGATGTAACATATTCCTTTACGGCACTGCACACATACACACCCCCATCCAGGAACAATGTAGAGAGGGATGGAGTTTGTCACACTATCGTCATGGCTGAGCCGGCATATAAGATGCAGAAAGCTAGGAAAGCATTGTCGGAGGAACAGAGAAAGAGGAAACGGCAGACTGACCGAGTGAGGAGTCAGACACGACACGAGCATAGGCGTAATTTGCGGGTGTGAAATGTCCCCATTCAAACATCTCGCGGCACGGATGTACCAATACAAATAAATAAAATATCTCCAGTTAACTCTAGTAGAGCATTCATTTCGTTCGTTTGTTAAATAAGAGGCGATCTGAAATGTGTTGTTTTTGAAATCAAGTGACCAATGTGCTTGCCGCTCACAGACTGTTGCCTCTGCGATCAGTGGCGTGGATACAGTGTTCTGTTGTGACGCGCATAGTCTTCACACGGACGCGCGCCTCAATCCGTTGCAGGAACTGAGAGACTCTCTATATTTGTTACGGTGAAATCACAAAACCTAATGAACTTGTCCCTGCTTGATATACAATCACTAATAAACAGTCGGTTTTGATGAGGAAAATAAACTATACTACTAGTACGGATTAGAACCCAGAACCTCTGACACACTTGGCAAAAGTTCTGCCACTGGACCATTAAAGTTCATGGAAATAATTGTCGGATCCATGTATTTAATCACGTGACAATTCTCACCACTAACAACATATTAGATCTCATTAAACGACAAATTAAACAATGTACTATTGTACACTATGTAACACGTCACCAGAGGTGGGTAGAGTATCCAAAAACTGTACTCAAGTAAAAGTACAAGTACTTATAGAAATATTTACTCAAAGTAAAAGTAAAAGTAATAATCTTAAAAGTTACTTGAGTAAGAGTAAAAAAGTATCCAATGAAAAAACTACTCAAGTAGTTAGTTACTAGTTACTTTGGATCACATAGGCCTATATATATATATATTATATAACATGATATTATTTAGATATTTTTTCATTTTAATGACTAAAATGATCATAATTAGATAATCATAATTGATCATAAATGATCATAATTACATTTGGATTATTAGACAATGTCGGAATAAAGTGACTCTATGGAGTTTTGCATTCATGTAAAGGGGTGGGAACCATTGACACAGATTAGAAAGTGTTAAAACTCTGCACATGTGCTCGCAGTCATGTCATGCCAAACCCAAACAACGATCAAATGCACGGATCTTCTTCTGTCTGTTCTCCAAAATGTATTTAAATGTAGGCTATATTTGTGAAAGCATCTTTAAACTGGTTAACTGTGTCTAATAAGGCAGGCAAAGGCATTCGTTTTCAAGTCGAGTTCGCACGCCACTGCGCAATACACACATTGTGTGTGTACACACATTCATAAACTGGACGATGATAGCTTATTTAATGTATAAATTAATGTATATGTCCAAAAAAAGGGTAATGTCATACTTTGTAGTAGTGCTATATGGCGTAATAATCTGTTTGGTTGTAAAATGAATTACCTGAAATGAAATCGAATGTATCGTCGTGTGGAATAATTCATTCACAGACAGCTTACGAAGTAACATACGAAGATGTTCAACTAATAAAGATCTTCATCGCTGGCAAAAAATATGATGCATTTGCAGATTTACATTCTAGACTGGACTGTAGTGGACCGCCACTTCATAAACGCTCTTGATGTTCTTAAATCTTCCTGTTACGACTCCGAGATGATTCAGTGCGTGCAGGAAACTGAACAGATCATTCAAACTGATTCGCGAACCGATTTAGACCGATCTGCCCAACTTGTTTGATGAAGTCTTTGAACAGAATCGACTCAAAAGAGTGATTCATTTGTGAATTGAGCATCGCTCATGCCCAGAAAAAAGAGAGAGCGCGCGCTTAGAATAAACTACGCTTTTAACAACATATTGCATTAAAATAAAGTTACGAGAGGAAGGTCGCCCAACGTAACGAAGTAAAAGTACTGTTTTTTTCATTAGACATGTACTCGAGTTAAAGTAAAAGTACCCACAATTAAATCTACTCTTAAAAGTAAAAAATTTCCAAAAAAATATTCAAGTAAATGTAACGAAGTAAATGTACTTCGTTACTACCCACCTCTGCACGTCACGCCATGTCACGCTCTGCGTGAGTGGTATTTACGACATTAACGTTAAATACAAGTTCTCCACAGCGACTCTAGGGGTCACTGTTTGACAAAAACGGGATTCCTGCCTGGTGTCCCTTTAAGGTCCAGCGATGCGAGCAGCTTCGCTGAAGAGATGAAAATCAGAGAATCAGCCTCCGAGCCCCGCTTATATACGCTAAGCCACGCCCATTCTGGCGGGCTAGGACGTGGCACGTGACGTCACGTCGGGCTCACTGGTAGGCTTTGCAGTCCCCGCAGAGCAGCCTATGAGCGCGCTAGAATGCCCACTCTAGGTCTGCTAGCTGCTGCACTGCGTTGACAACATATACAAAATTAAGGATAATTTTTTGGCTTCAATATCTCGAGAAGATGAATCTTTCCCGTAGCGTAAGCTAAACTTACGCAATACGAGAGAACCTCTTGTAAGAGAACTGTGGATTACTAACTGGAAGCATACTTTACCCTTCAAGACTCTCCACAGAGATGTAAAAATCTTCTGCTGCTCTGGGCTTAAAGTCAATACATGATTTCAGTCTGAACTGCTCAAAAGCTCTCAAAATGATTCCTTTATAGTTCATACCTACACAACCCAAAATACATGATGGATGAAAAACATAAAAGTAAAACTAATTTAAAAGCTGATTTGTTCAAATGTAAGTGAGAAATACATGTTTTCTTACTGAGATTCACTCCCAGCTCATAGGGGATGGGAATATCCCACCACTCATTCCCAATAACGTCACTCCTTTGATTGGGCTTTAATTAAAGCACATTTTTTTAAGTATCCTGAGAAATATTACATTGACTGATTTCTGAATGATCCAATATTCAATGTACTTTAAGAATTTCTTAGAACTGAACTCACCACCATGATGTCTCCTTCTCTGAGATTCAAACCTAGCATTCAGTTTAAAGTAAATATGCTTGCGTTCAGTTTACAGTAAATGACGTTCAATTTAGAATAATAATTTATGAACAAAAACAGATATGTTAGCTTACTGCTAATATAAATGTACTTTAGTTCTTGATATAATATAGTAGTTTTACCTTTGTTTATATCTGGAATGTCCTTCCATTCCGGAGTTCCTTTGAGAAAAATATAATGAAGAAAACAAGACGACAGAGAGGAAGTCAGAAAATAGAATTAAGTGCTAGACAAAAACATAATTTTGGTGAAACAGTCTGAAAGTCAAATGAGAAAAAAAAAGAGCAATCAAAATTTCAGACCGTAATCACAACATGATCTTTTACACTGTGCAAGTGAGACATATTACAATAACATTACAACAGATTCACGTCAGTGACTGTGCTGTACTTACCATCAGGTTGTGGCTGAGAACATGAGATATGAAAACAATACTCAGACATCAAGAAAAGCATTTTTAAAAATCAACACCTGCATCACCTTTACAACGGCAATGTATCATATCATAAACCTTATACTATCCAACTTACCATTGGTGATGCAAGACAAAGAGCCAAAGCCAAACTCAGCAGAAGAGAAGCACATAACTGCATTTTTACTGGGAAACATAATGATCACATTTTATGAATGATGTTTTATTATTTGCATTAAAAATTGCAAGCAAAATGCAAGGGATACCCAAAGTATTTCATAACGTTGATTAAATCTCAATTACATTAAAGACCATGAAAATATTTGATTAAAAAAATAAAAGGGAATACATACCAGTTTTTAGTCATTAACGGCTAAAGTTAAAACATAAAACAGCTTGACCACTGAGCTTGGCAGGTAAATACCAAGTGAGAGTCCCTTGAAGTCTGACAGGTTATTTAAACATGCAGTTTTATTTTGTTTTTCCTTATAGTGAGCTCTCATTGGAAGCGAGACACACACGCACGCACGCACGTACGCACGCACACACGCGCACACACGCACACACGCACACATACGCACGTACATACACACGTGACAAATTCTCAGAACAGTGCATTATAAATATTAGTTGTTTTTTTAATTGCTTCCATAAGTGGTAGCCTACTTGATGTCCACTCAGTGAAACCATTCCAATCTTCAGACCAAGTCTGCAAAACTGCAAGCACATAGACTCAGTTTGCAATTGTAAAAAACTTTTTTTGCAAAATGCTAAACACATCATTCAAAACTAACAGCTCTTTTGTTTTATTTGGGAAACACTGCCATTTAAATACCACATTAATTTACCAATTACCTACACACAATGATCGTGTATTAAAAAGCTAATACATAATTTGTTCAGTTAGAAATCAAAACTCAATGTTTTGAGAAACAAAGAAAATGTTCACTCTTGCATTGTTTATTTTGTAAATATATACTGAATAATATACATATAAGCTGCCTTTATTTCGGTGCTTATTTAGATTGCGCTTTATACAATACAGATTGTTTCAAAGCAGCTTTACAATAGTAACAATTTCAAATTCTGCTGTAAATCAGCTCTAATACCCAATAGTTTCATTATACAGCTGAAATCAATTCAGTGTTGTTTCAGTTCAGTGAACTCTAAAATTCATCAACTGTGCATGCATACTGTATGCATTACAGTTTTTTTTAAATTGCTGTAAGACTCTGGTTTTCCTGCTCTCACCCTGGCTTAAATCCTAAAAACAACAACCAAATATGATGGATCTTGTAAATCTATTGTTTTTTTTCCATTTCATGTTTAGTATAATTTTAAATGTCTCACTGTGGTAAAATGGTCTCAAGGTCACAGCCGTAAATAATCATTGTGGATTTCCTGCTGTGAGGAGGTTGCGTCACAGTAAGCTGCTTCATGTAGAGACTGAGGGACTGTTTGCGCATGCGAAGTGTGTTCTGAAAAACTTCCTGTGTAGTTAATAGTTGGCCTTCCACCGACAGTCCGTGGTCTTCATTATTCCTTTGTACAACAGTATGCGTCGGTGATGATGCATCACAAACCACACACATACAAATATTGCAATGCCCTGTAGAGTTGTAAGAGGCCAATAAAGTTATCTAAAGAAAAGAAGTCGCTGCGTCTTCTCTGACCGGAAGATTAGGCCAGTATACATACAGTCAGCATATCATCACCGCAGCTGTTCCGTTACAACTAATATCTGAATTAATACTATTACATTTATTATTAACAGCTTTGATAATTCACCTGTTGTCTCAATTTATAGCATTAGCTCCTGTCTATTTATATTCAGAGTTTTCCTTTGGTCTAATCTATGATTTAGCCTACGTGGTTGTGTTCTCCAGTGTTTGGATTGTTTATTAAAATACTATTCCCTTGGACTATTCCTGTCGTGTGCTCATTCAACACTGTAGCGTGACATGTTAGTACATGTTTGATAGTCAATGCGTTTTTGATATAAAAAAACTTTTACGTTTATATCTATAACCTTTCCAGTAGCCTACCTAGACTGCAGTTGATCATAAAAGCATTGTCCTGATCTATTTTTTGTGTGTCTTATGTTTATTGTGTATTTTCGTATGATATTATTGTTGTGTGACTGGTGTTTAGTTTAAGTATTTGTTCGTAATGTATTATTTTATTATGTCCCAGGCTCCTTATTATAAGCTTTGGATAGCTTCTCTGGGAGACCTGATTCACACATGACCATATGTGCCATTTAGTCTGTGCCATTTTGTCTTGATTTTATGTGTGGGTGAAATAATAAATGAAATGAAATGAAATGAAAATGCATTAATTAAAATTTAGGGGTAAACTAAATCAATAGGCTTTATGCACAGCTTCACTACTTCCTGAACTTCAGCCAGCCCTTTGTTTCCTGTCTGTCATTATTGGACAAACTGATTAATCCAGGTGTGCCTGATTATTGTTACTGAGGCCAGGCACACCTGGATTAATCAGTTTGTCCAATAATGACAGACAGGAAACAAAGGGCTGGCTGAAGTTCAGGAAGTAGTGAAGCTGTGGCATAAAGCCAATCAGGCTCCAAAGTGTTACGGAACAGAGACTCGCAACAAGGATAAGGTTAATAAACATTTTGAGGCCGGCGGGTATACGGACATAATAATACATCAGACTTTTATAGCGCTGTTCAGGACACTCAAAGACGCTTCACATGGGTAAATAAAACAAAACAAAACAAAAACAGGAATGATGAATGAGATACTGACAGTTCCTTTGTGTTGTAGAAGGATGAGGTTGTGGCTGAGGGAGACGATGAAGACACGGAGGATGCAGTTAGACGAAACCGTAACAAACATGGAGGTAAGTGATGAACATAAATGAGAGTCCTTACTCAAACGAGCCCTGACAGAGTGATGTGTGTGCTGCCTTTGGTGATGAGATGATGATGTGCAGGTGATCATGAATGAGGTGCAGGTGTGGGTGATTAGTATTCAGGTGATAGCATCTCTGTGATTGGGTGATGGTGGAGCCCAACTGATCCCCGTCAATAAGAAGGAATAATAAATATTTTGACTGAAATAAATTTAAACAATTTATCATTGTCATAATTTAAACAACTGACATCTGCTGATTTGTCATAAATGAATGGTACAGGATTAGCTTGTCATTTTTTTCACTGATCCTCCTTATCAAAAGTAGAAAATATACACTAATTGAACTTAAAAAAGGTCGTTGGAGTTTTTGTCATCTGCTTTTAAATGCATGTGTAGGCGTTTTTACACTTCGCTTTAAAACTAAATCTTCCCCCATTAAATTGTAAGTCAAGAGTGAGGTGAAATGGGCCAAGTGAGGTGAACTGAATTGTTCGGTCCATGCTGAATTAAGCAGACATTTTCAGTTTTTAATTGTAGTGTTCTCTAACTGAACTAAATGATTTTTATTACTATAAAACATCAAAACGACGGTGCTGTGGTGGGCAAGTGATGTAACCGGTGTGAGGCTGAACATCGTATAACGTACTCGGTTACTAACGTAACCTCTGTTCTCTCTAGAGAGGGAACGAGTACTGCGTAATATCTTGCTATGGGGAAAACCTCTTTTCCATGAGATATTGAAGCCAAAAATTATCCTTAATTTTTAATCAATGTAAAACGCTTTGCGGCAGCATGCAGACATAGGCGAGGCAGCTCGCGCGCCTATTGGCTGCCCTGCGGCAAAAGCAGCAGCCTATCTAGAGCGGCTCTGCGTGACGCCATGTCCAATGGGGGCACTTTGCGCCCATTTCGTCACGTCCCGCCAGAAAGGGCGTGGCCTCGCCCTATAAAAGCAGGTCGATAGGCTGGTACAAACTGGTTTTCATTGCCGAAGCGAACCAGAGCGTATATTAAGCACGGCAAGATACGCAGTACTCGTTCCCTCTCTAGAGAGAACAGAGGTTACGTTAGTAACCGAGTACGTTCTCTTACGAGAGTATCTCTCGCACTGCGTAATTTCTTACGCTGTGGGGAACACAGTGTAACACGCTGTGCTCTTGAAGGAAGGAAAGCACTTCTGTAACCCTGCAGTCTACGGGCGAAAAGCCCTGAGCTTGACACCAAGCAGAGAACACGGACCATTTCGAGGAGTAGAGCCGTCTAGCAGACGGAGCTCTAGCCTGCGTGATCGTGTTTAACACTCCCTCCGGGAGGTTAGCGGGTACCCGTTGATGGCCCATGCGTGAAGGGACCACAGATCCGGGCGAGGATGCCAAATCGAGCCCTCTGCCTGAGAGAGGAGGTCTCTCCTCAGTGGTACAGGCCACGGGGCAGTGCTGGTCAGCTGCATCAGGACTGGGAACCAAGTCTGGTTTGTCCAGAGCGGAGCCACGAGGTTATAATGGTAATTTCAGATCATTTTCATTCCAATGTTCGTTTTCCACCAGGTTACAGAAATGATCAACTTAATAGCACATGGCATATTTATATGGTATCTCCATGAATAAAGATTAGAAATGTAGATTTTACATAAAATGTTGACATTTTATGCAAAT